CAGCCTGGCTCTCCTCTTCCTGATGCTCCTGCTGGCACAAATCATCCTTGTTGGTTTGAGCTTACACTGTGAGTACCTACCTGCCTGTGCCTGGATCTCTATGGCTGGGGGTGGGGTTGGGTCTGGCATCACAGGGCTTGTGTAGCAACAGACAGAGCTGCAGCTTTTCCATGGAGCTGGGCCCTCCTGCTTGGGGCTGAGGTCGTTGAGGGTTCTGGGGCAAGTAGGAAAATTGGTGGGGCAAGACACACCACCCACCTGTCTGGGAAAGGAAGTTGGGGAGACAGCGTGGGCTTGGGGAAGGTGCCAGGGCATCCCACTCCATCACATGGCAATGAAATAAAGGCCCGAGGGAGAGCAGTGATACTGAAACTGAAAGGCAGAAGCACTTTCCCCCAAAAGCCTATTGCGTGCTGGGCTCCCAAGCACTGCAAAAGCCACAAGGACCTTGGCGGGCTTGCCTGGCAGGTCCCCTAAAGCAGGGAACATCCTCACCCACAGCTGTGGGGCTGTCCTGTGGGAAAGGACTCTGAGTGCTGCTGGGAGCAGGAGCCTAGGGTTGGTGGGGTATTCCTGTGCTCTTCTTCTGTAGATATAGTACAGCAACAGGCAAGCTGCACCCGTGGTCCAGGGAGCACGGAGGAGAGCCTTGGCTATTGGCAAAAGACACTGCAAGGTAAGAAAGCCTGGTGGGCTCTTGGACAATGTTTGGAGAGTGTGTGGCTTGTCCTTTCAAGTGTCCATACACCAGGACATTCTCCCCACACTTCATCCCCAAATATTCCTTCACCCTTGCTGCCTGTCCCCTGGCTCATAGCATGAAGGGCTGCCCCAGCACTGCTGGACAGACTGAACTTCTGGGAGCCCTTTGAAAGAGATGATCCCAGCATGGCTCAGCATTGCCTGGGTAGGCCACCAGCAATAGGCTCATGGATGCCACCAGCATCTGTGTGCCAGGTGGCATCGGGTATTCTCTTTTGGCCAGCCTCAGGTGAAGCTGTAGTCTTGAACTGAGTCCTCCGCACTTTGGAAATTATGTTTGTATCTCCTCCCCAAACCTGGAGCTCCCTTCCCCGCCCAATGCCAGCAGGGTCTCCTGCTGGGGAGCTGGGCTGGGAGATGGGAGGTGGGCTCCTGAGTAAGGGCAAGCAGAAGGTACTTTCTGTGGGGCAACCACAGGAGCACACTGGGTTGATTGGTACCCTGCCTGCTCTTTGTCACTCTCCAGTCCCTTGGGCTGGGGGCTGGTTGCCTCATCTCAGCTGCTGTGTTGCTTGCATGCAGAGCAGTGCCAGTTTTGCCCGGTTGGCTGGCTCTTGTTTGCGGGGCAGTGCTACTACTTCTCCTCTGCCAAGAAGAGCTGGGAGCGGAGCAGAGAGGACTGCTGCTCCAGAGGGGCACAGCTGGTCACTGTCCAAGCCAACACCACCCTGGTGAGTGTACCCAGCCTGGCCCTCCCAACTCCCTGAAAACATCAGACTGTGCTGGTGACCACCTCAAGGTCCTTTAGCAGTCACCTACCCATCATCAGCTTTGTCTCAGCTCCCTGGCTCTGGCCCACATGCCCAAAGCCTAGTCAAGTCTCCAGGCAAGGAGCTGGCAATGCTGTGCCCGTACTGTGTAACCCCTATCACTAATTGTGTGGCTGGGGCTGCGTGCTCCTGCAAGGAGCTCATGTGGGTCTTCTCTTATGCTAGGCTTTCCTGGCACGCCCAGCCAACATGGAGGTCTTC